CTTTCGATCCGGGCTTTAGGCGTAATGGCTTGCAAGCTTGATGAAAGGTGATCAATATACGCTCTTAACAGAAGCATGAAAATGACAGCAACAACAACACTCACAATAACAACAACAACAATAACAACAACAACAACAACAACAACAGCAGTAGCCGCAACAACAACAACAACAACAACGATAACAACAACAACAACAACAACAACAACAACAACAACAACAGCAGCAGTAGTCGCAGCAGCAGCAACAACAACAACAACGATAACAACGACAACAACAACAGCAACAATAACAACATCAACATTTACGACTACAACAGCAACAGTGATGACGGCTGTCTGGACAACTTCCACAAACTAGTACCAGAAACAACTAGGAGAGCGACAACATCAACAATTGAAGTAGATCTATGAGCAACAATCTCTACAAAATAATCACATCAAAGATAACGACCAACACTACTGACAGCAACTGCAAACAAAAATGACAACGAAGACCAAAACAGCAAAAATAACAAAAGCAACAAAAAAGCAAAAACAACACTAATCATGGCAGTCATCGCATACGTAAGCGTCATCACTCCACTAGAGGTGAGCAAAATCCGGATAAATATCCGGAAAATCGGATCATTTTCAATGAAACATTATCCGAATTCAGACTCTTAACTCTCTTTCCTGACCCGTTTGCCGAAGTGGGCGCACCCAATTGTTGATGTAGTGCTAACCCGTTTGTCGAAGTGGTTCTAAACCATTTGCCAAAGCGGTCCGTATCATATTATTTGCCGAAGAGGTGCATTAACATAGTATCTGGTTTTTACTAAAGCGACTCATTGCCCGGCTCTGCACTCCACCACGAAAGAGCAGGATTAACTCTTGAAGGACGCTGTTTTGGGGTTTTGTTTGAGTAAAGAGCAGCGCATCGACAAAAATAATGGCCATATAGATCTAGTACTGAGAAAAAGTAAGACAGGAGGGAAAATCAAGAGATAGGACCTACCAGTGGCGCCCTCCAACCACCCGCCTCAAAGCACGCAGTGGACACTTTATACATGTAGATCAGTACAGGAACAAAGGCAGGGTGATGGCACATTTGGAATCAATAAAAACTATTCTGAAACTTTAATTTGGATGTTTTATAGCATGCGCGTTGTTGTCTGCCCTTACAAGTTTCAGATAGAGAAAACAGAATTGGAAAATGCGCATCATCGTTGAGTTCAGTGACACAAAATCCTTCCGAAGTTTAACCCCTCGCCCCCCCCTCCTAATTCCCTCTCCCCGAAATTCTAGTTCGTGTGAACATCACGTCAACGACAATAAATGTTTTATTTTCGTTTCTCACCTTGACCTGGGTTCATATTTTCAATGCTGAAATGGGAGTTTTCGCTTTCTGTAAATTTGTTGCCCTCGCACTTTTCTGTACTCCAAAGTCTGTTTTTGTAAAGCGTAAGTCGGCTTACCCATTAGTAATATGGCCCTGAGCCCCACACTAAGCAAACAGCTAGCACCTAGTATGCGAGCTGTCACGTTCCATGGAAAGATTCTCTGAACTCTCCCGGGGCAACGTCAATGTCCAGCGAGCTGAACTTCCACTCTATGACCTGGCTCCATTAATTGTTTGAGTAGAAAGGAGAAGAGTTGAGAAGCATGTAGACACATCGACGGTCATCTAGCGCTGAGAAAAAAAGTAAGACTGATAGAAAAAGTAGAGGGAATTAAAAAAATTGGGACCTTCTTAAGTCCGTTTAATCTTTCATGCCCTTGTCTTTGTCATTTCTTGACTAATTAATACACTAAGAATTTGCAGAAGCTTGTGAAATGCTGTTGACCCTCATTAAAACATTTTGCCTCAGGAAAATTGAGGTTGTTTGTGATTTAGCTCTTTCTTTATCATTTATAAGAAAAAAACAAACTAGCTTGCTTGAATTACCCAATAGGTATCTGCGTTCAACAGCAATAACGATTTCACACTAGCCCTAATATTTTTTTGCGAGTTTCCCAAAATGATAATAGGTCCACGTTTGTTATAACGTTTATATAGCTTTGCCTTAAGTACTGTGAAATTGAATTTTTAGGCCAAGAATCTTATTCCAGAGAGATCAAAGGAATTTGCCGCTTTGAAACCCCCCCCCCCCCCACAAACGTTTAAAGTGCAAATTACGGAGTCACGAGACGTTTACGGTCAGTCAGAATTTAAGACTGTGAAAAATCAGGGCAATACAACATACACATTTTGAGAAAATTGCGTTTGACTGTGGGCTCGAGACAGTGAATAAACTATATTATAGTACGTGACTCTACCCAAACACCCGACCCTGCTTCCAGACAACAGAAAAGTACTGAGGAAAATCAGTTAAGCCAAAACACTATCTCAGCTACCTCGTTATCAATATTCCCCGATGCAATCGGTTTTTCTCTTCGGCTTTTTAAATGAAGGTCTTATTTTCATTGACTAGCTATTTTCCCTTTCGACCACTGATAGTCCCATTTTGAAATACAACGCATCCTTGCTCTATCGTTTGTCTGTCATGATCCCATCACGAAAAGTCACAAGATTTCTAGAATTTTTATTGGGCATACCCAGCTCCACGCTCCGCCCATTGCCTGATCACATATCTCCTGCTGATCCCTTGCACCATACGTCACACTTTACTTTGCCACTCGCTCCCCAGGCGATCCATCTCGGTCTTCCGACACCGCGACGTCGTGGCTGACATGAAACTCTACT